CCCAATTTGCAAGCGAATCGTCTACCAATATATCTATAGATAAAACATCAATACATTTGTACACATAAAATTACGCACGTATAATACTTACATATAACTGCAAACACATAGATAAATGTGTATATGTATATATAGTAGTTACTTTATATGCATGCTGAAAGTATTTCGCTTTCGGTAGCGCAATTTTGGGTAATGCTCAACCTTAAGAGCTAGTGGGCTGATATGCGTGTGTATGGACATTAATATACTATGTATGTATGTATGTATTTGCATTTGATTTGAATAAAATCAGCATTTCAATGCACTTATGAATCCGAACGATCTATTTTGCTCGTATAAGTAAGTGTCTGGCATCAAATTTGGTTGTAAAGGCGAAGCGAGTTTAAATTTATAACGAACGCTTTAATGGTAACTTAGCTAATATCAAAGTCTCTTAAACCACTTTTTCAATTTTGTTTTATACTCGTAGTATTTGACCACAACTGCCTTAATGAAAATCGTATGTGTTTATGTATTTAAATATACATACATATTAGGGTGCCAATCGAAAATGCTTTTTTTGGAAATTTCAAGACCGTACCCCGTAATTTTATTAGTTTTTATGAGAAATATTATTGCCTATTTTTATAGATCTTTTAGAGGTCATTTAGAGGACGCGACCTGTTGATTTCGATCAGAAAATACGATTTCGAAGATTTATGATTTTTTGATTTCAAAGGTCGAATATGATCCGAGAAGAGGTTATATAGGCCTTTAAAATGGTATATAATAATCCATTGTCGGACTAGGCTTGTTTTTGGGTTTTTTTATCGGGTAAATTAAAAAAGGACCCATATTTCTCTTAATTTTTTAAATTTTGACCATCGATAATTTCTACAATTTCAAAACATGGAGTAGTATCTACAATTAAGCCTATTTTCAAATAAACTTATACCTCATTTATTGCAATCGCATAAAAATTGTCGAATTTAGGCGACTTTTCTTAAATACGGCCCTGAATTTATATGTGTGTATATACTGGAATTTTAGATTTTTTGAGCAGTGCGGCTAAGGAGTTCATCAATATTTATTCAGAATTGACAAATACAATCGCTCTATAGCAAAAAGGTAGTTTTTCAAGAAATTTTAGGAAAATGGTCCGCCCACTAATATGATATATAAGACTACTTGTCCGATTTCAAAATTTTGGAAGCGATACTTAAGGAGGCTAATCACAATGTATGTACCGAATTTGGTCGAGATCGATCGAGTAGTTTAGTCATATAAGTGGGCGGTGCCACCCCCAACTAGTCGACAATCCGAGTCATCTAAATATAACGAATTCCAACCGTTTGCGCGATTTGGGAGACTTTATTTTCATGTGACAGATTTTATCCAAAATTTTTCTGGTAAGTCTGCTCGAGAGTAAAGTTAAGGAAAGAATGCTGGAAATATATTTCAGAACAACCTGTAACAAAATCAAATAAATGCGTATTGATTCAGTAAATTTCCATTAACGCTTATTGCGCTTACCCAGCATATCGAATACCCGGTCGATCGCTACACAAACAATTCTCTAAATACATAGGGCATATAAGCTGTGGAAAAGCGCCGAAATATGCCTAAAGCCTGTAGGTATCTATGTATGCATCCGACATACATACATATGTAGTGGGCAGTGCATATCTCACATCTAAATACTATGTATGTATGTCCATACATAAATACTTACAAATGTATACATACATATGCCAAGGCAATGAATAGAAAAGTTGTTTGCATTGCAAGTGGCTGCAGGCAGTAGTAGACAAAAAAACGAATGCCATAGAAGTTCATTGCTCGCGGACATTTGGTTTTGTTAGTTCAATTTTATGCGCTTTCATATGCCATCTCGGAATATTTACTCAACATAAGTATATGCATGCATGCATGTACATATGTAGGTGTGCATACAATGCCTGGCATTGCAAGTGTCGAATGCAGTGCATTTTAAAGTGAGTGCACCGCGCTCGGTCTCGACTGGGTACTTAATTTTGCACGCAATTGAAAAATGACCTTTCGAAAGCATTGACTATGCCTTAGCAACCATAAACACGGCCTTTTGCCGTTCGTCCTCTACCCAGCCGTGCAACGCGCACTCCAAAACGTCAAAACTAAATGTGAGGGCATGAGCTTATAAACTACTTAAAACGTATGTATGTATGTATGTAGGTTTGTTTATTAGGGTGCTTCGCACAATTAGACGTTAGTCACTACTCTGCTCCCATGTGCACATGTGCATCTGTGTCGTTGGGTGTGTGAAAAGCCTCCCCTTTCAGAATGCATGCGCTGTAAGTATTAATTATGAATGCGGTCATCGCCTACAGTCAGCCAGCAGCCAACGCACAAACACTCCGTCGTACATCGAAACGTGTTCCCAGCTGAGCATTGGTGCATTATTAAGAGCTTCTAAAATGTCCTTGCTTAACGCACTTCGGCGAAAAAAAAAAATTGCCCAACTTTACAGTGTGTATCTCAGCGCATTAAACGTGCTTTTCTATATGGTGATACGTGTGTTTATGTGTGTGTGTTTAAGTATATAGCATGCTTATGTACATGTGTATGTAGGTGAATATTCATATGCATTGCCCGGGGCGTTTCCACTGTGCGCCACGCTGCACGGTAAAGAGTTTGCACAACTTTTGTCTTTTACACTGCTTTTGGTAATTTCGCGTGACTTATTTTTGATGCCGCAAGCGATTTTCGTGCACATGCGATGGAGGCAAAGTTTTATCGAGAATATATCCCCAGTCGGTGGTCGTTTTATGTTGGAAAACCTGCAAGCATGTGTTGGTTTAATATTTAACTAATTGCTTCTTGGCAATATTAACCTGAAGTGAAGATATTAAATTTTTGTCTCTGAGCAAATATAACGAGTTGTTGAATTTTTCGATAAAAAGTTTTTTTTTTTGGTCGAAAATGGTGGCACACTTATATCAGACAATGCAATATCTTCAGTTTTGTATAAATAACAAGATTCCGTCGCAAAATTGTATTTAAATGAAAACTTAAAAAAGATATACTAAAAAGTAGATATAACAACTCGTGCCCATATACCCGTAGATATGCATGCAACGTATACGCCCCGTAGCACCATACACAGTAAGCTAACTTACAGTAAGCTTACTCACAGACCTTAACTTAAAAGTCATTTTATTTAAAAATAATTAAATATTGGCGTAAAATACTTTTCTACAGTCTTTTTGACGAATATATAACGGGTGATTTTTTTGAGGTTAGGATTTTCATGCATTAGTATTTGACAGATCACGTGGGATTTCAGACATGGTGTCAAAGAGAAAGATGCTCAGTATGCTTTGACATTTCATCATGAATAGACTTACTAACGAGCAACGCTTGCAAATCATTGAATTTTATTACCAAAATCAGTGTTCGGTTCGCTTTACGTCCGATTTATGGTCTACATAATCGACCAAGTGAGCAAACAATTAATGCGATTGTGACCAAGTTTCGCACTCAGTTTACTTTATTGGACATTAAACCAACCACACGAATGCGTACAGTGCGTACAGAAGAGAATATTGCGTCTGTTTCTGAGAGTGTTGCTGAAGACCGTGAAATGTCGATTCGTCGCCGTTCGCAGCAATTGGGTTTGCGAAACACATTTCGAACCGAACACTGATTTTGGTAATAAAATTCAATGATTTGCAAGCGTTGCTCGTTAGTAAGTCTATTCATGATGAAATGTCAAAGCATACTGAGCATCTTTCTCTTTGACACCATGTCTGAAATCCCACGTGATCTGTCAAATACTAATCCATGAAAATCCTAACCTCAAAAAAATCACCCGTTACATACATACATATATTAATTTATTCATGCACATAATAATTTTGGAATGAGTTTCGAGTGTCCCAATACAAATTGTAAAATTGAAATTTTGTTTCGCTGATCATCATCATCTTATAATCAATATCGTTTTTTTTTTCTTTTGGTGGAACACTAGTTTTAGTTCTATAGATTGGTTCGTTTTGGTAAGAACATTTTCACCGTTAAATGTTAACATTTTGAAGTAACTTAAACTTTTAAAATGAAAAAATCCTTAAATATCAAAAATTACAAAATAGTTGCGACAAATTTTCTACATGCTACGATTTCTTATTAATTTGGTGGCACGCTCTTGAAACTTCAGCGGTATGTTTCATGTGATGTCAATTTTCGTTGCCTCCAACATGAACGTTCTAACTGAAAACTTCCCAGTGTTAGTAAAAAAAAAGAATATGTTATTTTCGAGTGACAATGAAAATGTGAGCAATTTCGGTACTTTTTCGCCTAAATAAACCTTTTAAGGCTTAAAATTTTCAAATACTTGATTTATTTTTGATTCTGATTGTGTCTGGAACTCTATTGTTTGAAATAAATACAAGAAGAATGCTTTAGCCTCTTTTTCTGGTGAGAGTAGGGAGTGACACTAAAAAAAACAACTCGTGAGATTTGCTCATATAGTAGCTTCTTGTACTTTAATATTGAGCCCAACAGTGAAACAAAGCATAGGTATGTAAATACAGCCTTCTGAGTCGCATAATTTTTTATTTCAATATTAAATTTGATGAAAAATATTTAAAGGGATTCACAATAATTTTAGGTGCACGAAACAATGCAATGCTGCATATACTAAAGTATTAAAATATTTTTGGACACCGACGTCGTGGTGGTTTTTTAATACTTAATATAAACCCTAACACAAGGCGAACTCACATAGGGTGATATCGATTCTACAAATACAAAAATTACATGTTTTTCATTTAGGGGCTATCGCCAAATTTCAGTTCTTCTTTCCTGAGGAAAAAGGATACAAATACGGTTGCTTTGCACTCACTTACAATCCAACAACATTCACAGCTGATGAAAGAACACCACTTGTATGAATTCGCCTAGCTCTCACACTAAAGCACAACTAATATAAAATTGTAATATGTATTCGCAATACACTCACATAAGTAAATAATTTTTAATTTCAGGTTGAATTGGAAAACTGGGTAAATAGCATTCATAGCGCCTGTGCTGCAGCATTTGCAAGGCATCGCGGCAAAACAGGAACTCTACATCTCTTGCAGGAAGAGATATTCCGTTTGGAGAAAGCCATTGAATCGGTAAGTGCCTAGAAAAGCTTTGTATGTTTAGTTCGGTTGATTGATGCGCTGAGTCTTAACTTTAATTAGCGTTATTGTCGAACATACTTAACACTTTTTTTTCAAAAAAAAACTTAAACCTGCTTGAAACCCAATGGAAAAAAAATTTCGTGACTTTTTCAATTGAAGTACCGCGCGTAGGCTATAACAAATTAGCCTACCTCGTTCAATTTGGCCGCCAAACAGATGGAGTATTCAAAGATGAGTTAGAGTTAGCCAGAGCTTGTATTTGATCGTAAGCCTAAATATATTTGGCCACCACACCAACAGACGAACCTATTCAGATCCGTGATCAATGGTATCTCAATTATGTGATACGCCTTAAAAGAAAAAATAGCTATAAATCGTTGCAAGGCTATAATTTTGCATTACAATGTTATCGTCTAGCTAAACTAACGGTAGCACTGAGCAAATCTAAACTTCTATAATTCATTCGTAGAGGAGCAAATTTGGTCCAATTATTGGCCCGTAGGTGGTTCTGCTGCAGGCAGGTGACAGACAGCCGCCTCTGAAATGATCAAGGCGGAAATGTTTGCATTTTTTTAGTGCATTTGGGAGGAATGTTTGTAAATGCGTCCTACAAGTCCCCGACGAGCATTACGTTTCGGTGATAAATTAGATCAGATATTTAGCATTGTAGAAAATATAACAGGATATTAAATGCGATTTGTATTTCGTTCTAAAAGTAGACTATGAATAATAATAATTTGGCGCTTATATAAAATGAATGTTAATGTTTCGCCGAGCTTGTCCTCGCTCGTATTATTGCAAATCGAGACCATTTTGAGCAGATAATTTGAATAATAGAAATTTGTAGCTGTGGAAAAAAAAATAGTTTTTTAATTTAGCCGTACTAATAAATATTTTAAAGCCATTTTTTGTGTTAGCAAAGCTCGAGAAATGCTGAAGCGATTTTTTTTAATTTCGAACACCTGCCACACACGTCCCAAGGATGGTTACAGGCTAAAAAAAATTTCGTTATATAAGGGCGAATTTTTCATTCTGCATATCTCTGGAAGGGTTCATGGTACAGTACTGGAACTTCGTATGGATATATGTATTTATATGGAATCAAGCCCATATTCCTGGAAAAAATGGGGCTATTTGAATAGGGACGTGGGGCCTACAAACGTATCGACTTTTAGCTATCTTCATATGTATTTATAATTCTTCTGTAGGTGTGTTTGTGAGTGAAATCCTCCTCTTAGTGGGTGTCCGAATTTTAATGAATTTTTTTGTGTTTGACAAATTAACCCGCCAGTTGGCGCTGTGGTTGAGATATTACTAAAATTCGCCAAGGTGCCATGAATGTCAGATTAAATCGACCTTTAGCACCATTGAATATATCGAACTCTCTTGTGTTACGATTGGCCCAATGGATGTGATTTGCCAATATTATTATTTCGTTTGAAATAAGTATATGTATATCGCATTTCTGTAGGACAATGATACGCACCCATTTTGAAATTGCTACCAACTATACTATAAAGCTTCTAGCTCAGATTCACTATAGAATCAGATAATTTTTGCAGCTAGGGAGTGAAGAGGAAAGGGTCTTAAAATTTATTTCATTTTGCAAATAACCGTGCTATGAGATGCTGCACAATTGGAGAATTTCAAGAACTTCTTCGTGGACATAACACTTCTGTTAGGTTTTTTAAAGCGGCATATGACAACCAAAACAATATTCTTAGCAGATGAATGTGCCAATGAAAATCGTAAACGTGAATTGTTGGTGAAAATGATGGACCAAAAAGTTTCAATAAAAAAAAGTTCATTTTGGGCGGGACGAAGTTCACCGAGTTTGCTAGTTACCTAATACAAAAATAGACTGTGTACCGCACTAAAATCGTTGTGGGGGTTTCAAGATTAAATATAAATTTATGGGGAATTCAAAACCTCTAAAGCTAATCATATCTTAGGTTTGCTCTTAATTCTTAATATTCCTGGGGATTTTTTTCTCCGGGAATTTGTTTCTGCCGAGAAAGAAGTCCTCCAATAATTAACTCCCAGGGAGTAGCATTTTCCCCAAAAACTCGCGAGGAGGAAATTCGAACTTCGAAAAAGCTGCTAGGCAATTTTTTGACAGCTCAACTGCGCCATTTAATAAAAAAAAATCCTCTGGGAATTTTTATTCATGATAGGAGGAAAGTGGAAAGATAGAAAACTCCCAAGGAGTTTCTGTTCAGAATCGGTCTGATTAACTCAAAATGAGCCAAGAAACTATTTTTCAATATATTTACTATCTTCAGCTGGCCGCACGTCAGCGAGTAAGCCCCGGGGAAAAAATGTCACCTAACTGTATTTAAATTATATTTATTTTTTTCATTAGTATTGCAGAGCTTTGTACCACGATTTGTTTATTAGGAAAAATGGACAAACAATATAGTTTAAGCGGTAGGAGTTATAGCAGCTATTTCGGAGATCACCACACCACGGAAGCGCTTACCACTGACCTGTGCACACCAGGTAAACTCTTGTTGCTAATCAATTTTATCATTCAACCTATAGCCATCAAGTGCAACTGATTCGTCGCTATTTAAACTTGACAGCGTGGTTGTTATTGTTAATGCCATACATTAAATAAATCCGTAGTATAGTTTCAGGCTTCACTTCTTTCAAATATCCGTAATTATTGACAGCAAGTTGTTTAAACTTAAAATCAAATTCACTTAATTTTAAATTTCGAACACCGTTTTAACTAGTACATATAAAACGTACTTTAATTTGGCAATGTCAGAGTACACTAAAACCAAGCTTCTGACTTCTTTGTGCCATTGACTCATTATGTGTACATGATGAAGTGCCACATCGCTTTCCTTCCAACCAGTGGACTAAATATTTTTGTGCGAATAAGATTTTAAACTAAAATTTTACTGCTATCCAACAAAAAATGCATACTAAGGCATTGCAATGAAATGCATTTAATCGTCGAAAAAGCACATGACAACGGTGCTAGTACTTCTTTTCATTATTACTTTATATGCCATTAATACTTACTCCGCTACTTAAGTCATAAGTCTTTGTACTTTTCGCAGCTTTGTTCGATTCGTTGAGAATGGTTGCATATAACCCAGTCTTTATGAGTGGTTGTATGTATATATGGATTTACGTTCGCAATTCACTACACTGCGCCGAGCTGTCATTATCATTTAACATTTAAGCGCATTGTGAACTGAAGCGTTGTCGGAGCTAAAAGTAGCACACCATCATGAGTCAGAGTAGGAAGTGATTAGATGAAAAAATTAAGTTGCATTATATGTCTTAACTAATCAAAAAAATGCTTCTGAGTTAGGGGAAAAAATGTTTATAAGTGTTGAAAATCCTAGCGCAAGCTACTGCTTCAAATATCCCTCAGCATGTTTTCTTAACATAAGTAATAGCACACGCAATTGTGCTAAAGTTTATGGCCGCCATCTGCTTTGGACGCGTCGTTCATGAACTTGTTTTAACCAGCAGTTTCGACAGTAAAAAATGTCTTTTGTGCTTCTGTTTTAAATCACTGCCGAGTCAATTCTTACAGAGCTGACTTTTTCAACATGTGGTCAAATGAAATCTAAACATGTTCCTGGTTTTATGGGCATTTTGCACATCTGCACAATCCAATTGGCCAACAAATGTCAACTCACAAGTGTAGTATTTACTTGCATATGGTCATGTGTACATGTTTACATATTTATATACATGCATGTGTGTGTGTGTTTTTACTGCCCGCAAAATTGTTACTTCTCATCATTTACATATTTATTTCATTATCCGACCCGATGTGATTTGGGCTGCTGCACGGTGGGCCAGCAGACTGAAAAAGTGGCAAGAATTGTTGCTTGACTATTTAAACGTAAAAACAATCTGAAAAAAAATATTTTTATGGTATAACTTATTATCCAAGATAACAAAATCTGGCATATCGAAAAGTACCAGTTGCCCAAAAATTATAAAAAATCCGACAAGGCGCGTATTTTGGATTTTTTGATGTTTTTACTGCTTTAAACGTATTAACAATTCAAGAGATTTGTTCTATTTTTCCCCATTCTAGTTCATATTTTCTGTACAAATTTTCTAAAAAAAAAATTACAAAAATAGGGTTGCTTCAAAGGCTCCACAGCATACTTCAATTTCTATACTAAAAAAAACCCGTTCGAAGAGATTAAAAATAATATTTTGGAGTTAAGTTGCCACCTTTCTAAAAAGTTACAATTATGTACGTTTATTAAAAAAGTTTATGCTTATTTAATATGACAATAACACAATAAGGGTTTCAAATGGAAGGTGTTTGAACAAGCTTCGACACTAACATGTCTTAGACTAGTCTTGCCTATCTATCAACTAAGGCTACATTTTTTATTATTAAATTTATGTTATTTAAAGAAATAAAATACGTATTTGATTGAAGAATTTTAAGTGGGGGCTTTTATGTCAAAAAGTAATGTTTAAAAATTAATTTATTTTGCCCAAAAATTGATACATGGATTTTAAGAATCCTTTTAAAATTTATCCTGTTATTTGCCTACCACACATGCAGTATGCAATAAGGTTATTTTTGTCAAAAGGGACAAAACTAATTTCTTAATTTCCATGCTTTATTAATTCCTGTGTAATCTTCATCATAGCTACCATCTTGTTTAAATAGAAATATTAACGGTTTAAATAGAGTGGTTCGATGAAATTTTTGGAAAAATTTATAGATAATTTTTTTTGTCAAAAATGAAAATATAAATAGTTGTAAATCAAACAAAGCAAAACAGTGCAAAAACAACATGCATTTATGTATTGTAAAATATACAAAAATATTTGCAAAAATAATAATAATAGATTGACGCTTACATATATGTATATGTGTTTGGCTGAGCTTCTCCTCCGACTTGTGGCGTGCGCCTTGATGTTATCACACAAAGCGGAGGGACCTACAGTTTTACGCCGACTCCGAACGGCGATTGTATTTTTGTGAGAAGCTGTTCTTC